GGAAGGAAGGAAGGAAGGAAGAAAGAAAGAGAAAGAAAGAAAGAAAGAAAGAAAGAAAGAAAGAAAGAAAGAAAGAAAGAAAGAAAGAAAGAAAGAAAGAAAGAAAGAAAGAAAGAAAGAAAGAAAAAGAAAGAAAGAAAGAAAGAAAGAAAGAGAAAGAGGGAGGAAGGGAAGGGAGGAAGGAAGGAAGGGAGGAAGGGGAATCTTAACACTTTACAAGTTTTACAAAAATTAACTCATAATGGATCATAGACCTAAATGTAAAATGCAAAACTATAAGACGCCTTGAAGAAAAACATCAGAGAAATCTAGATGACCTTAGGTTTAGCAATTATTTTTAGATAAAACACCGAAGATACAATCCATGAAATAAATAAGCTGGAATTCATTAAAATTAAAAACCACAGTCTGTGGCCAGACACTGTCAAGACAATGAGAAAAAGTACACGACAAAAATGAAAATAATTTGCAAATGACATACCTGATAAAGGAGTGTTATCCAAAATACATAAAGAACTCTTAAAACTCAACAATAAGAAAATAAAGTCCAATTTTTATTATTTTTTGTGACTTCTTTTTTATTTCAAACTTATATTTTAAATTCAGGGGTACATATGCAGGATGTGAAGGTTTGTTACATAGGTAAATATGTGCCATGATGGTCAGCTTCACAGATCGTCCCATCTCCTGGGCATTCATTAGCTATTCTTCCTGATCCTCTCTCTCCTCCCACCCCCAACCCTCTGACAGGCACCAGTGTGTGTTGTTCCCTGCAATATGTCCATGTGTTCCCATCATCCAGGTCCCACTTGTAAGTGAGAACACGCCGTATTTGGTTTTCTGTTCCTGTGTTATTAAAGAATTTGCTAAGGATACTGGCCTCTAGCTCCATTCATGTCTCCACAAAGGACAGGATCTCATTCCTGCTTATGACTGCATAGTATTCCATGATGTGTATATATACCACATGTTCTTTATCCAGTCTATCATTGATGGAACAGTCCAAGTTTTAAAAATGGGCAAAGAGAAATTAGGATATTTCATTATAAGAAGGGGGTTAATTCATCAAGGAAAGCGAGTGGTGCAGTTCCCTCTTATTTTACGTTAAGTCAGCCATTTTCTTCTGTTCAAGTCTTCAACTGATTGGACAAGGCCCACCCATACTGGGGAGAGCCCCCCTGCTTTACTCAGTCCACTGATTCAAATGTCAACCTCATCCAGAAACTCCATCCCAAAAACACCCAGGATAATGCTCAACCAAACATCTGAGCACCCTGTGGCCCAGCCAAGTTGAAACATAAGGTTCACCATCACAGTGGGGTCCTCTGTGCATGCAGAGGGGAAAGGGGTGTCCAGAACCCTCTATACCTTCCTTTCCATTTTTCTGGAAACTTTAAAAAAAAGCTCTAAAAGTAAAATCTATATTAAAAAAAAAAAACTTAGAAAGAACAGTACATTCTTGAAAAAACTAATCTCCAAATATAGCTACATGAAAAGTGAATGAATCTTGCAGAAATACATTTCAGTTAAATGGTATTAATTAGCTAGATTTAACTAACTGTTTAAAAGTGTACCCCAAAACAGATGTTAGCTCACACCCTTATCACGTGAATAGTAAATGAGCAATTTAAATGTCTATAATGATTATTGTATTAGTATTGTTGATGAGGATTTCTGGATATAAACAGAGGGAAAAAGAGAAATCTTCAGTCTAAGGAATTCAGCCCCCTCCAGTCTAGACCACAGGACAAGAGGCCTATTTAGAGGCTTCAGCACAAATCATACTCAGCCCAGGACAATACAAAGAAATACCCTAAACGACTTAAAATCAATAAGAGAAGGTATGTGTGACTGATTAGTACATCAGGCTTGACATTGAACCACAGCTCGATAAAGTCAGAGATTGGCAAACTATTGCTTCAGTGTGGCCCCTCACATGTTTTTATAAATACAACTTGATTAGAACATGGATGGCCATGAGCATTTGTTTACTTATGTCTATGTCTGTGTTTGTACTGCAAAGGCGGAGTTGAGTAGTTGCAACGGAGATTATATGGACCACAAAGCCTGAAATATGTACAGTCCTGTTTTTTCTTTTTTTTTTTTTTTTTTTAATGGAGGTCACTTGATCACCCAGGCTGTAGTACAGTGGCGTGATCTCTGCTCACTGCAACCTCAGCCTTCTAGGCTCAAGTGACTCTTGTGCCTCAGCCTCCCATGTGGCTGAGAACACAGGTGCCTGCCACCAGGCCCAGCTAATTTTTGTATTTTTAGTAGAGACAGGGTTTCACCATGTTGGCCAAGCTGGTCTCAAACTCCTGGCCTCAAGTGATCTGCCCTCCTTGGCTTCTCAAAGTGCTGGGATTACAGGCATGAGCAACCATGCCTGGCCAACTGTCTTGTTGTTTACAGAATAATTCTGTCAACTCTTTATAAAGTTCATCATTTTTTAAAGGAGAAATTTGTTTTTTTAATTTTATGAAGAAATGTCCTAAATGCAATGTGGTTTCCTGAAGGAAGTGCACTTGCTGATAACCTAGTCAAATCTGAGTAAAGTCTATAGGTAAGTTAAAAATAACATAGCAATGTTAGTGTCTGGATTTTAATAAATGTACCAGTTACATAAGATGTTAATGTCTAAAAAACCTCTCTGTACTACCAGTGTTTTTGTAAATCTGAAATTTTTCAAAATTTTTAAATAGGCTTTAAAGGATAATTCCTCAGCAAATAGATATTTGCAATAAACATGCAGAGTGTGAATAGTCTGTCTCTAATCATAGCAATCATGTGGCTATGGGAGTCATTCATTCTTTTATTTAATAAACACATATTAAGAACTTGAAACAACAATAACAAAAAACTACTTCACAAATATTTGGATAAAAGTCAGCTTGCTTCACCAATTTTGGCAATTTGTTAGAAACTATAAAAATATTGCTCATACAGTTAATAATATAAGAAGTAAATGAAGAAGAAGAATGACAATCACATTGTAAGCAGGAGCTATAGATGTGCATGTAACAAGCAATTCAGAGAACAAAGTAGTAATTAGGACTTTCATTTTTTACAATCCTAGAGGAAGGCTAGAAAAAGAAGTATGAAACAAGTACTACTTCCTTTAAGTAGCAGTATGAAAGAAGAAGGTAAAAAGCATCTCTGTGTATCCAATCTATCATTGAAGGGCATTAAGGTTGATTCCTATTGTGAATAGTGCTTCAGTGAACATTCGAATGCATATGTCTTTATGGTAGAATGATTTGTGTTCCTCTGGGTATATACCCAGGAATGGGATTGCTGGGTCAAATGGTAGTTCTGCTTTTAGCTCATTGGATGAAGAAAAGGTGGTACGTATACACCATGGAATACTATGCGACCATAGAAAAGAATTAGCTCATGTCTTTTGCAGGAACCTGGATAAAGTTGGGGCCATTATCCTTAGCAAGCTAATGCAGGAACAGAAAACCAAATACTGCTTGCTGTCACTTATGAGTGGGAGCTAATTGCTAAGAACTTATTTAGGGCACAAAGAGGGGAACAACAGACCCTGGGATCTACTTGAGAATGAAAGATGGTAGGAGGGAGAGGAGCAGAAAAAATAACTATTGGGTACTGGACTTAGTATCTGGGTGATGAAGTGGTCTGTACAGCAAACCCTCATGGCATGAGTTTACCTGTGCAACAAACCTCCACAGGGACCCCTGAACTTAAAATACAAGTTAAAACAAGCATCTTTGAACATCTGCTCTTTGCTCAGGTTGTGTATCTCCTCTCCTGGTGCCTGTCAGCTCTGAGCACCAAGAAGGCATTCACCCACCTGGAGTAAACCCAGAATGTCCAGGCTCAAGGACCAGTCTGGATTTACCCAGCTGTGTGACAGCAGATCAGAGAGAAATTGTTTATAACCCTGACAAAAAAAAAAAAACACAACATGATGCAACATTCAAATGGCGTCTTCGAAGATGAGAGGCCAAGCAAGTGGGAATGAAAACACATATGAGGAATGACTGACAGGGAAGCAGGGACGGGCCCTCAGGCCGGCCAGACAGATGCCAAAAGAAAATAAGGTAGACGAGAGCACTGCCCCCATAGGAAGATTTTGCCAAGTCCTGGGGTTTGATTTTCTTATCATTGCACAAATTGTGAACTCTTTTCTGCCTGATAATTGTCCACACACATGGGTAGGTAAATAACACTGTTGCCCGCAGCGTACAGAGATGAGACTTATGGGGACCAGCTGTTTAGGAGAGCGTATTACCACGTCTCACTTGTCTAAGATTTAGGCTCTGGTATTCAGACTACTCTGAAACGTTAAGAGGAACATCCACATATAATTGCTTCTCAGTCTGTTTCATCACCTGCAAATGGAACAGATTAGAATAACAGTAATGAATGCCCCCTTCAGTCCTGAGATTTATGATTCTATAGGTGAGACCAGTGAGTTTTGGCCTCTTTTTTACCTCATTAGCAGTTCCTCCTCATAGGAAAACTAACAAAGAGTGGAGAGTTAAACTCTACTCGAACCATTTGGGCAAGGTAATTCAGACATTCAAAATATGTGTTTGTGCGTGTGTATATATGTATATGTATATATATCACCGGTCCTGAAATGCATGGGATGTTTGCATGCATTCAGCCTTTGGAAGCCTCTGTTGTAATAACCAGCCAAGATTCAGCAAAGGCAACTATGGAGTTCTCAGAGAGGAAATTTGGATCCAGGAAAAAAATGCTGTTGTTTGGATACTGTTTC